TTAAAGTCCGCTTTCAAACATACGTTTATATCGCAGACTTTTTTTTTTTTTTTTTTTTTTATGAAACAGCGAGGAAATTTGGAGAGTACGAGTACGAGTACGAACGCCAAGCCGCTGCGCAGCCAATCAGAACGCTCGCTTGGTGACGAACGGATTTCCTCGCCGTTTCGTATAAAAGGGCCGATCTCGCCCTTAAGTCTTCATTCATAGCCTGCAGCCGCAATCGTTGTGTCGCTATACTCTTCTCTTCCGGTTGTAAAATGGACGACGAATACGCAGCCGTCCAGAAAGGAGGTCTAAAACTGAAAGTTAAAGAACAAGGAGGAAAAAAGAAAAAGAAGAAGGACAAGGAAAAAAAGAAATTGGAAGAACACAATGCATCAAGACCATCCAAGACAAAAGCAGAATTAGCTTTTGAGAGGGCTAAAAAGAAAAAAATCCTTCAGCGGGCATTCCACAAAGAGAGAATTATGGAGTTCAACCAGCAGTTGGATAACTTGACTGAACACTTCGACATACCAAAAGTGAGCTGGACCAAGTAATATGTATTTGGACAGCAAGCTTTGACAATAGGTGGAGACGGCCCTAAAGTCTGTTTGAAGACACCAACCTGTGCGCCATCCACGCCAAGCGTGTCACCATCATGCCCAAGGACATCCAGCTAGCCAGACGTATCCGTGGTGAGCGTGCTTAAGAGGTTTCTTTTAAGCCCAAACCACCACCCCCTGTCCTCAACCAAGGTCCTTTTTAGGACCACCTGACAACGTTCAGATTAGCAGTGAAGGTCCCCCACCTCACGAGTTTCCACCCACCCACCCACCCACTACACCCCCTGCCCATGTCTGCCATAATATTCTGGCTTCATTTTAAAACGCTCTAGCTTAACTAAAATAATATAAACAGGAGGGTAGATCTATTCAAAATACTGTTTCAAAAATTACAATAATAATTTCACGGTGAAAAAAAAAAGGCAGGCGATCCATGGTTAATTAAATGCTAATTTAAGGATGTTGCTTAAAAGGTTAGGTTGGCCTGGGACGCCAGTATTTCTCTAGAGTCTAGATCTAGAATTTCTAGATTCTGTAGGAATGAGTAGCCTAGGTATTAATAATTAAATGCATTAGTAATTATTAGTAGCTAACATAAGATTTAGTTCAGTAAAAACTAATAGATCTAGATTTTAGGTCCAATGTTGGCTGTCAGACTTGATGCTTGATTGTAATGATTATTAGGTTTGAGCAATTAATTTTTTTAAACATTTTTTTAATTATTAGTATTAGTGATAAGTCATCATTAGTGGGAGTAAATTTACTTCTTTCCAGTCTGGTTCTGGGTTTCCTTGTAGCCTATATAATCTAGATCTAGTTGGTGATAATATTAATAAATATTGTTTCCCATTTTAAATACTCAGGCGGTTTGTTTGAAAGTCTGACCGCAGCTCCATATTCATTGACTGTCAAAGCAGCGCATAAAATGAATTAGCTTATATCCAGGGCTGGCCTGGTCTGCCTGTTATTGTGACTGAATTGTCCTACAGACAAGACCTGAAGAAGCCCTCGTTAAGTAATAAGTGTACAGCTTGCTTTTAGCCTGGCGCGGGGATCTTTCACCGGCCACTTTAACATTCTGCGACAGGGCAGGCCTTTACTTTAAGCTTTAATCTTAGCTGGTTCCGCTTTAACACAGGGTATTCTTTTGTCTTTAAGTATACCGTTTTCTTTCATCAGCCTGGAACCCTGTGTCTGCTACCGGTATCTCATCCGGCAGGGCAAAACAATTTCCAGTTTTTAAATTAAGCTGATGTCATTTTTAATACCAATGATTAGGATTTTGGCACAATGCTTATTTTTCTATATAACAAGATGAATTTCACATCATTTTCTGATTTCAGTTTAAGTTTGAAAGCATGTAAAATGTCAATTTGTCCTGCTATGTGATTTTTCTTCATTTATTTTTTGCTAGCCCATGGCATCACATTATGAAGACTCTACTAATATCTTTAGGCTGGGGCCAGTACCTTAACCGACTGTCGTCAAATGAAAAAACTGACAGAAGAGCGCAATTTAATACACACAACAGATATATATGTATCCGAACAAACAAATAAATATATTTGAACATATATACATACCTTTATATACGCACACTGATATATACATATACATATATTTACATAATAAATACATTATATATGAATATATCTATATATATAATTTATTTATTTATACATATATATATATATATATATATATATATATATATATATATATATATATATATATATATATATATATATATATATATATGTATTATATCCTTATATATTATGAATATATATATTAATTCTTATATAATATATATTTGTAAATATAAATTATATATATGTGTGTATATATATATCCTTCTGTTTGCTGGGGTAGAAGAAAAAAACTTATAATTATAATATTCTGAAGGATATTATTTTACTTGAGCGTCTTTCGTCTACACTCAAATATATATATTTGAATATACATTCAAATATATATTCAATGAATATACATTTAGACACACATGTAAATATATATATATATATATATATATATATATATATACAAAACATGCATATATATACATACGTATATATAGACATATATACAATATTCGTCTATGTATATATATTCAATATTTTTACATTATATATAAATATATATAAATATATATAAATAAATATATATATATATATATATATATATATATATATATATATATATATATATATATATATATATATATATATATATATATATATATTTTAAAAAATATATACATATATGAAATACTTTTTACACATATTTATTTATGCTTCTATAATATATGGAAGGATATTAATTTACTCAAGCATCTGCCTTGGGTGTTTATATAAAAAGAGAAGGGTTGAACTAATGAGAGGAATAAAAAAAATCTTTATATTCAATCTAATTTATTTATATTGTATATGTTATAGACTGGCATACATTTTTTTCTCTCTGGTTTATGTGAAAGGAGCTTGCAGGGATTCAAATTATTATTTTTTGCATTGAAATTCATTCTTTATTAATCACAGCTATGTTGCAGGCATATAAATACTTCCCTTTGGGCTCAAGTTGCTTTGAAAGAATCCTTGTCAGTATAGAACTAGTACCAGGACCATAAATGTATGCCCCAGGGCAAATGTTAAGAAAACCTCATCATTTTACAACTCCAACTGACCAGGGGCTTAAGAAATGATGCTTCTGCGCAAACTTTCTCGTCAGCCGGTAAGAGATCAACCTCCTTTTGATTGTTTAAATTTAATCTGTGCTGAAATCATTGTGCAGGCTGGCAAAGAAAACCATGAACTTCTTGAAAGCTGTGTACTTGAGCTCATGTTATTTTTTATTTTCTGTATTTTGAAAAAAAAAAAGTATATATATGATAATAAAAAAAAAAAGTTCAGAGTATTTAATTGTTGTTTTGTCTTGTTAAAGAGAATGTATGTTGTGCAGAAGTGTAACCAACTCATTTTCAAGCCAGGACTAGCAAAAGACAAAACCAAAAGAATCATATGATATGATGGTAGTAGGAAAAAAGTATATCAGTGAACAAATGGTGGCAGATGCATGCCTTAGCAATCTGACATGGTAGCTTTAATGAAAGAAAAACAAAAATAATAAAAACACCAAAAGCCACACTCACACAGTTATGTTCAACATATATAATGAAGACAGAAAAAAACCAACCCACCAGAATGGATGTATTGTAATGAAAATGGCAGTTAGCACTGGTGATAAGAATCAAAGTGTTGGCTAATAATTCCTATTACAACAGCCAGCCTTATAATCTGAATTAAAACTATTAAATCCCATTCATCCCTTGGATCTATGCCAAACAACACACAATAAATGATATGCATAGAGGTGTGCTGATGCCCTGTGTGAGATGCAGAATGAAATAGTGTTTTTAAAAAAAAGGAGCCACCCAGTAATAAGTATGTGGCCTTTTTATGTCTAGTTTAAAGGATAGAATTAGCATGAAATGTGTTAAGAGAATAGTGTGTGCAGTTGTTGGGATAGGCATATTACTATGTAGGCCTATGTATGTATGTATATCTATCTCTACTTATTAAAGAAAAAGAATGACTAAACAAAAAAACAACTGTAACATGGCAGCTACACAGAGTGGGTGGGTGGGTGGATGAGGGAGGGAAAACTCGTTCAATGTAAACCAAACCGAGCTAATTGGGAATGGGTGGAGGCCCTGAAAAGGGCCGAGTAGTAGAGCCACAACAAGCAAGCCAGGTGGTTGTTTGCTGTTGTGTTTATTTGCTGGTGGTGTACTTGGTGACAGCCTTGGTGCCTTCACTGACGGCGTGTTTGGCCAGCTCACCGGGCAGGAGGAGACGGACAGCGGTCTGGATCTCCCTGGAGGTGATGGTGCTGCGCTTGTTGTAGTGGGCAAGACGGCTGGCTTCAGCTGAAATGCGCTCAAAGATGTCGTTGACGAAGGAGTTCATGATGGACATGGCCTTGGAGGAAATGCCAGTGTCAGGGTGCACCTGCTTCAAGACTTTGTAAATGTAGATGCTGTAGCTTTCCTTTCTCCTCCTCTTCTTTTTCTTGTCACCGGTGCGTACGGCTTTAGCCTTACCGGCCTTCTTGGCTCCCTTGGAAGAAACTTTAGGTGGCATGTTGTTTTCTTTTCAATGGCTTGAACAGAAATGAGGCGAACCGTTGTTGTTGTTGTTTTGTGGTTTAAAGTCCGCTTTCAAACATACGTTTATATCGCAGACTTTTTTTTTTTTTTTTTTTTTATGAAACGGCGAGGAAATTTGGAGAGTACGAGTACGAGTACGAACGCCAAGCCGCTGCGCAGCCAATCAGAACGCTCGCTTGGTGACGAACGGATTTCCTCGCCGTTTCGTATAAAAGGGCCGATCTCGCCCTTAAGTCTTCATTCATAGCCTGCAGCCGCAATCGTTGTGTCGCTATACTCTTCTCTTCCGGTTGTAAAATGGACGACGAATACGCAGCCGTCCAGAAAGGAGGTCTAAAACTCAAAGTTAAAGAACAAGGAGGAAAAAAGAAAAAGAAGAAGGACAAGGAAAAAAAGAAATTGGAAGAACACAATGCATCAAGACCATCCAAGACAAAAGCAGAATTAGCTTTTGAGAGGGCTAAAAAGAAAAAAATCCTTCAGCGGGCATTCCACAAAGAGAGAATTATGGAGTTCAACCAGCAGTTGGATAACTTGACTGAACACTTCGACATACCAAAAGTGAGCTGGACCAAGTAATATGTATTTGGACAGCAAGCTTTGACAATAGGTGGAGACGGCCCTAAAGTCTGTTTGAAGACACCAACCTGTGCGCCATCCACGCTGTAATAGATTGAAATAATTGTGAGGTCAGGGGAACTCACTCTTCTGTATTAGTTATATTTATAATATTGTTATCTTGAGTGATGTCCCTTGTGTACTTCCTCTCCCTTGCAACATGGCGTCTGTACATAATAAAGACTGTTATATACAACCACAGGCTTCTGTCGTCAATCTATTATAATTGGCGACGAAGGATAAACATCTACTAGAAAGAGCACCTACTTACGCAAAAAAGAGGTTTGCTAGAGCTTATTAGCTAATTATTTCTAGAATTATGGCGCTGTATGGCCAAATAAAAGAATTTGATGCGAATGATGAAATCATTCAAGATTACCTAGAGAGGTTAAGCTTTTACCTAGAAGCTAACGACGTGACGATAGAAGCCAAAAAGAGAGCTATTTTGTTAACAGTCATAGGGCCTCAACAATTTAGGCTACTAAAAGACTTATGCGTACCGGCTAGTCTAACTACCAAGAGCTTTAACGAGCTGAGCAAATTGCTAACAGACCACCATGCGCCCACCCCATCAAAGTTTCTATGTCGAGCTAGATTTGACAGTAGGACTCGTCAACCAAACGAGTCAATATCAGAATATGTTGCTGCTTTACGTCATTTAAGTAGATTTTGTGAATTCGGCGAAACGCTGTCTAACAGATTATGTGAAAAGTTTGTGACAGGTGTAAACAGCCCTGATATTCAAAGAAAGTTGCTGCTCGAGTCAGATCTAAAATTGGAAAAAGCAATACAACTCGCAACTTCAATCCAGCAGTCATCAGATGCGGCGAGATCTTTAGCACCTTCAGAGATCCATGCAGTAAACAGCAGGTTAGTCAATAAACATCAACCCCATCAGAGCATTCCAACTTATGCTAAACAGCCTGCTCGTTCAAATCCTAGATCTAAATCTAGTAATAATTATCAAAAATGTCATCGATGCAAAGGTCCCCATGCATCTCATCGATGCAAGTTCAAGTTAGCAACTTGTTATAAGTGCGGTAAGCAAGGTCACATTGCCAAGGCCTGCTTTGCAAAGTCTTCGTCTGTTGCTAAATCTAGCCAGTCAAGACAGTACCGCAACCAAAGGCAGCACTATGTTAACTCTCACCAAGACTACCTAACCCAACCAATGAACCACTCTACCTGTGAAAACGCTCAAACTGATTCGCAGCCGGATTTCAACCTGTTCTCTGTGAAATCAATAAGTCATGCTCCCATCAATGTACAAGTTAATATCAACGGTAAGAGCATAAGCTTCCAACTTGACACTGGAGCATCTCTAACAGTCATAACAAAGAAAGATTTTGACGCTGTCACTGGAGGATCAGTGCCTCTACAGCCATGTCACAAGTGTCTAACAACATACACTGGTGACAATGTTCCGGTAATAGGAGAGTGTATGGTTCATGTAAGTTATAATGGTCAAAGTGTTAAACTTCCTCTTCTTGTGGTTGAAGGAAATGGACCGCCATTACTAGGTAGGAACTGGTTAAGTGATCTTAAGTTAAATTGGGAGAGTATTTGTTCATTGAAGAATGGAAAAGAATCTAGTCTTACTTCACTAGATAAAGTAATATCTGAAAATAAATGTGTTTTTGGCAATTCAGGTTTGCTAAATGATAGAACAGTGAAGTTAAGCATTAAAGATACAAATCCAAGATACTGCAAAGCTAGAGTTCCACCTTATGCAATGAGGAATAAAATTGAAAATGAGCTAAGTAGATTGGAATCTAATGGCATTATAAAGAAGGTAGACTATTCCGATTGGGCGACACCCATTGTGCCAGTGTTAAAGAAGGATGGTTCTATAAGAATTTGTGGAGATTATAAAACTACACTGAATAAGCAAATAGAGCTAAATAGGTACCCTATACCTAACATTGAGGAAATTTCTTTGAATTTGGCAGGAGGAGACAAATTCACTGAATTAGACTTTAGTCATGCTTACACTCAACTAGAACTGCATCCAGATTCAAAAGTCTATACGACAATAAACACACATAAAGGACTCTACCAATATGAAAGACTATGTTTTGGCATATCATCTAGCCCTGGAATTTTCCAAGCTGTCATGGACAGTATTTTTAAGGACATTCCAAATGTTTGTGTGTACTTTGACAATGTGTACATAACTGGTAAGAATGACACTGAACATCTTAAAACACTTGATAAAGTATTGAAAATTGTTGGTGAAAAAGGTTTAAAGATAAACAAAGATAAATGTCAATTCATGTTGACAGAAATTAGTTTTCTTGGTTATATATTGAGCAAACAAGGCATCAGACCTCAACCTGAGAAAACAAAAGCCATTAAAGAAGCACCCAAACCTGAAAATACCCAACAACTAAGAGCTTTTTTGGGCTTAATAAATTACTATGCAAAGTTCATAGGAAATCTGTCTGGTAAACTATCACCACTGTACAAGCTGCTACAGAAAAATGCAACTTGGCACTGGGGTAAACAACAAGATACTGCTTTTAATACAGCAAAAGAGGCTTTGTCTGCTGACACCTTACTAACTCACTATGACCCAGGGAAAAGACTTGTATTGACATGTGATGCTTCACCAGATGGTGTAGGAGCAGTCTTGTCCCACATGGATGAGAAGGGTGACAGACCCATTGCTTTTGCCAGTAGATCTTTGAACCAGGCTGAGAAAAATTATTCTCAGTTAGATAGGCAAGGCTTAGGCATCATTTTTGGTGTTAAGAAATTTCATAAGTTTCTGTTTGGTAGGAAATTCACCATCTTTACAGATCATAAACCATTGCTAGGTTTATTTGGAGAAAACAAAACCCTACCTGAGCATGCCTCACCAAGAATTCAAAGATGGGCTATCACACTAACTGCATACAATTATGAATTGAAATACAAACCTGGATCTGAGAATAGTGCAGATAATCTTAGTAGATTACCTTTAAAAAACCAAAGCCTGAGCTATGTACCAGAAGATGTATTTATTCTCTTCACTATCATGGATAACTCCAATATAAATGTGGATGATATTAAAAGAGAAACACAAAAAGATGAGTGCTTAATAAAAGTATATGAGTACTGTAAGAATGGTTGGCCTGAAGAGTCTGTGAATGATGACTTAAAGCCATATAAAATAAGAAATAAAAACCTTTGTGAAGATAATATAAAAGATGGAGAAGATGCAGTCCATTATCAGTTAGAGTTGCCTAAACAAAATATTTGTAACTTAATAAATGATTATGGTGATATGGCAATTTCAAATGTTTTAAAGAGAATACATTAGTAAGAAGGAATGTGATCATCAAACAACTTTGCTAACATCATTAGCACTTACAGAAACTAAAAGGGTAACATCAAAAGAAAAGAAAAAAGATTTTTGCCATTAATACACCCACTTCAAATACTGGATCACAGTTGCAAATTGATATGGTCCAGGATATTACTTGTAAACAGTATTTTTGGTTACCAAAAAGCACTATCAGATTACCTGAGGAAATTGATCAATCAAAGAAATCTATGTCAATTAAGGATCTGAATAATAGCATAATACTTTCAGATGCCAATTCAAAAATAGTTCCATTAAATCATGACAAACATTCATTGAAAGAGAATTTGGTGTTAATGAGAATGTGTATCTAAGAAATTATGGGAGAAAGGAAAAATGGATACCAGGTCAAATTGTTCAATGTACAGGACCTGTGTCTTATAAAGTTAAAAATAACTTGTGCAGATAATAAGTGTGAATCTATCAATCCCACCAAATCTGAACAGTTCACACCAACTCAGTTGTTCCACAACCAAGTTCTGTTGATATGAGTGAACCAAGTTGTCTGGAGTCAGAAAATGTAAATTCTGGAGTTAATGATTTAAATCCTAGACCTCCTGAGATAGAGAATCCAGATGGTCAGAATCTTGAGTCACCAAATCAGAAGCCACTGAGAAGGTCAAGCAGGACAATCAAAGTCCCAAATAAGTTAGACCTATGATTCTAAAGGTCAAAAGGACTTTGACATTATTGTTTTGTATTTTGATTATGTTGTGGCATATTGTGCATTGTTTGTAAGGATGTAATCTACCATAGTGTTCATGTTACAATATAATTGGTGATTTTAGGATACTATCAATTGTTCTATTGAGAGATGTGTTATTGTGTTCTAAGGGTAAAGGGATGTAATAGATTGAAATAATTGTGAGGTCAGGGGAACTCACTCTTCTGTATTAGTTATATTTATAATATTGTTATCTTGAGTGATGTCCCTTGTGTACTTCCTCTCCCTTGCAACATGGCGTCTGTACATAATAAAGACTGTTATATACAACCACAGGCTTCTGTCGTCAATCTATTATACACGCCAAGCGTGTCACCATCATGCCCAAGGACATCCAGCTAGCCAGACGTATCCGTGGTGAGCGTGCTTAAGAGGTTTCATTTAAGCCCAAACCACCACCCCCTGTCCTCAACCAAGGTCCTTTTTAGGACCACCTGACAACGTTCAGATTAGCAGTGAAGGTCCCCCACCTCACGAGTTTCCACCCACCCACCCACCCACCCACTACACCCCCTGCCCATGTCTGCCATAATATTCTGGCTTCATTTTAAAACGCTCTAGCTTAACTAAAATAATATAAACAGGAGGGTAGATCTATTCAAAATACTGTTTCAAAAATTACAATAATAATTTCACGGTGAAAAAAAAAAGGCAGGCGATCCATGGTTAATTAAATGCTAATTTAAGGATGTTGCTTAAAAGGTTAGGTTGGCCTGGGACGAAAGTATTTCTCTAGAGTCTAGATCTAGAATTTCTAGATTCTGTAGGAATGAGTAGCCTAGGTATTAATGCATTAGTAATTATTAGTAGCTAACATAAGATTTAGTTCAGTAAAAACTAATAGATCTAGATTTTAGGTCCAATGTTGGCTGTCAGACTTGATGCTTGATTGTA